AACATGTCATTAATTGTGTGTGTGTGGGGGGGTGAGACAAGGTCTCACTAAGTACTTCAGGCTGGCCTTATGCACACCATGTAGCTCAGGCTGGCCTCAAACTTGGGATGATCCTCTTTTCTCAGTTTCTGAAGTGCTGGGATTACAGACATGTACCATTCTGCCTGGCCACCTAGAACATAATAAATGAACAATTCCAGAAATATGTAATGCATAAGTATTAAATATTTTGATGTTTTGAATAGCTTGATGAAATCTCACACCATCTTGCAGCTTCCTTTCCAGGAGGTGAATTGACGCTTTGTCCAGTGCATCCACTACCCACCCTTAGTCACTTAGCAATCATTTCATGTGGGAAGCCATTAACTGGTATCCATTTTATAATAGTGTCAGCTGTTTTCTTAAGTTTCTATTCCCCTGCTGAGTTAAGTTTATGGTCCTTCCCACCTTGCCTATTCCTGGTGAATCACATGCTATGCCCCAGGGGTGGCACCTTCCCCTGTTGCCTAGATACCTGCTGACCCCAAGAGCCGAGACTTCCTCATTCCTACACTCCCTATATGTACTCAGCACCTCCCCTGAATAAACGAGACTTGATCAGAATCCTGTCTTGTCTCCATTCTTTGTGTCTCCTGTCCCTTTTCATCCCCACTCCCCCTCTAGGGTCCTCGTTGACTAACCCGTGGGTCGGGACAATTTCAGTGATTAGATCCACTACTTCGGTATGGCAGTGCTTCTGTTCAAGTAACCCTTATTTTACTTAATAATGGTTCCAAACTGCAAGAGTAGCAATGCTAGCAGATTGGATATGCCAAAGAGAAGCTATAATGTGCTATGCTTAAGTAGAAGGAAAAGGTTGTCAATTTAATACAGAAAGAAAAAATGTATGCTAAGTTTGGTAAGATTGGTAAATCTTTCTTTTAAGTGTTTTTGTTTAACACAACTGAAAAGAATGCATATACAAAGATTGAGACATGAGAAAGCATTTGTTGAACACTAATAAAATCTATAAGAATTATGATTTGGGGAAGGTGAAAAATTACCCAAACTTTTTTTTTTTTTTTTTTGGCAGAGCCAGGGGTTGAACTCAGGCCCTTGTGCTTGCCAGGGAAGCACTTATTCCACTGAGCCATCTCCCCAGCCTCTTACCTAGACATTTTTAAAAACTGGAAACTGCAATGAAAACAAGCTGATAAAGTTCCTATCAACACTGAGTCTTTCTAAGCTTCTTTGCATGATTTTTATTAAACTAGAGTGCATCAACTGGTTGCATAGGTTCCTCATATGGAAAACAGAAATAAGGGGATTCCTCTAGCTGGTCCCCATGTTGCTAAATGTTCTCCCCACCCCTGCCCACCCATAGCTTCTTAATGAAGCAGGCCTGCATCCTTATGACCTGAAAGAGGATGTCGATTATCCCATAGGCATCTGTCTTGTAAGATTGGTAAATCTTTCATCTGTGGAACTGTGAAGAAAGAAAAAGACTGGTGCTAGTTTTATCATATCTCAAATTGCAAAATTTACAGTCACAGATATATGCATTTAGTTAAGATGGAAAAGGCATTGAATTTATGAATGTGTATCTAGGAAACAAAACATAGTATGTGTAGTTGTTTGGTGTTATCCGTGGTTTCAAGCACCACTAGAGGTCTTGGGACATACCAAGAACATACCCCCCTTGCAGGCAAAAGAAAGTGGGAAGTCTATGTAGCAGTGTGGGGAAAAGGGAAGAGTGGGCATGATTACATGTGTTTACTTAAAAATTTCATTTTGCGGGTCGGTGAGACAGCTAAGTGGATTAAGCACCTTCTTATAAGGGTATTACTATTATTATTATTTTTTTTAATGGGACCACGGATCAAACTCAGGACCTTGTGCTTGTCAGGCAGGCACTTATGCCATTGAGCTATATCCCCAGCCTAAGCGCCTGCTTAGGCAAGCACGGGGATGGGGGTTTTATCCCCAGCACTGTATCTTGCGCTGGCCCCAATTCTGGGTGCGGTGAGCCAGTGACAGAGTCTGGGTGTGGTGGTGTAAACCTGTAATCCCAGAGCTGGGGAGGCTGAAACAGTAGTATCACTACCAATCCTAGCTGTGTAATGAGACCCTGTACCACATACATTAAAAAATTTTTTTTTAAATAATTTGATTCTGTTTAGTCTCTTTGCAGTTAACTCCATTAAGCAGAAAACTGAATGATGCTGATTATGTTACACAAATGCATTTTGTGACATACAAATGTAAGCCAGTGTCAGTAATACAAGAAGGATTTATAGTGAAGGAAAGATTCACTGTGAAAAAGCAAATTATTAAAAGGAAATTAAAAATTAGCTTTTGATACCTGAGAGAAAATTATCTAGAAGAGTAAAATCAGTGAAATATTCACTAACGGATACATTTAGCAACAATATTAAAATATCTTTTTACATGTATTGGTAAACTAAGGTCAAAATGTGTTTGTATCTCGGCTTCCATACTCACTTTCTATATTATTAGATATTTCATGAAGATAATCTCTTAAAAAAAAACATTTCTGTAGGTTAAAAATATGTGAATCAGAGATTGTGATGAAATTGTTCAAAGGTATGATTCAGATTTGGAGAATATTTTGGTGGTCCAGTTTTACTCACTTGAAGTTCTAGGATAAAATGAGTTTATATTTTTGAAAATAGAGAATATATTTTTTAAAAATTCATATTTTATGTTAGTTTGGGGTTTAGAAAACTAATGTAACTTGTTGGAATTGCTATTTCTTGGTTAAGTTGGTTCAAGCCACTCTTGTGCATGACCCTGAAGGTACAGTGAGAAGATTACTCCTGCAGAACGAAAGTCAGAAGGGAGTACTTATCATCAATAATTTATATGGCCACAAGGTTATAAAACTGATCTATCATCTTTACACAAATGCTGAGTTAAACATAATTGGAGCACTGAAAAAACAACAGCAGTTCAACATTATTAAAACCTGGGAAGACTTAATAATAGATTCAATATAAGCAGGAGAAGGGTCCTTCCACTTCATTTGAGCCGAGTTTGTGACTAATTTGTTTCTGCAGTAAGACAATCATTCATTCTGGGCGTGTCAGCAGTGGGTGATCACAAAGGTATGTTGACATAATAGTCAAATTTTCCTTGGCACTCTTGTTATTTTATTTTTTTTCCATTTAATATAGTCGGTGGAAATGTTATACAGAAGAAAAAGAAAGATGTGGGGGGGCAACTGAGGAGAGACTGCAAATGATTTTCACAAATTTTCTTTCAAGTTTTTTAGACAGGAAATTTGAGAGGAAGAAAGAATACATGTGGGGGCTGGTGAGATGGCTCAGTGGTCTAAAGCACCTACTTAGAACAAGCTTAGCAAAGCACAGGGACTGTGGTTCAATCCCCCAGCACCACATGCCAGCCAGCCCTGCCCCCTGGTGGGCTGAGCTGGACACACACACACACACACACACACACACACACACACACAGATACATAAATAAATAAAATTTTTTTAAAAGTAACTAAGTTCTTAAAAAAAAAAGAATACATGTGAACATAAGCTGTTATGAAGGGAAATATAAGTACTAGCAGTTAGCATCCTCTGGAAATCCTCAGGCAAGAATCACCATAGAGAACTTTTCCTCTTTTGGTTACTTATTCTAAGATAAAAATACAGAAACTGAGTCTGGGCATGGTGGCGCATGCCTGTAATCCCAGCACTAGGGAGGCAGAAATCAGGAGTCTGAACTGCTTAGTGAGACCCTGGACAAAACAAACAACTGAAAAACAAAACAAAACAAAACCCATAAACTGTTTAGAGGCAAAAAGATTATGGGACAAGCTTTTCAATTCCACATTCTTGCAGTATGGGGGGATGGTAGTACCCAGATGTGCTCTACTACTGGTCTACATCCCCCACCCGTTTTAAAACAAGTGTACAGCTAGGTTCTTCCCTGAGATAGTTGGTTACTAGAATATAAAGTCTTAAGATGAGTCTTTAAAATCGTGCAATATTTGGTGTTTGTACAATACAATTTTTCCTTTGATTTTCACAACTACCCATCCGGTGAGGAGGGAAAGATGGGCTATCCTTCTGACCCACAGAAGGTTGATGGAAATGCTGAGCAGACTCGAATGGTCGTTGCAAATTCAGGGTACAAGCCCTGCTCCAGGTCCGTGGTCACCAGCCTCTGTCTGAGATCCCAAAGCGTAGGTCCTTCACCGCAGCGCAGATTCCAGCTCAGCCCGCAGGGAGAATGCCTCAGGCAGTTCAAAATGCTATATGGGTGGTCAAGGGCACCCGCTTTGTGCTATCATAGAGTGATCTGGGTTTGAATCCCCAGACCTTCTCTTACTGTCCATGACCTTGGCCAGTCTCTCTGAACTTCAATGTCCTCATCTGCAGAGCAGGCACGCTTTGCTTATTTCACCGGTCTTACCGACAATTAATAATGCAAAGCAGTAAAGATATTAGCGTACTTCTTGAGTCGCGGAAAGCGCTAGTGAATTAATTGGTGGTTAAAATATTGGCAGGTCTGGGACGGACAGGGAACTGCCCGAGCGAGTTGGCAAATCTCCATCTGCTAAAACGGGCTACAGTGGATCGCAGTCTTTTAAAAGCAAACATCACTTGGCAAACAAAACTACAACCACCTCCACCTTTCTATTCTAAATGACCTTTGTTTATAAAATAATGTGGGAGGGGAGGAGGAGATCAGAACTTGGGGGAAAAATTACCAGGGCAATTTGAAAGCGAGGGGGCTAGGAATGGAAGAGAAAGGCAAGGAAGCTTTTTTGTGTTCCCAATAGCAGGGACCGGTTCAGTCAGGACACCTTCTCTAGGACCCCATGGGTAGACTCAGGGCAGATACACAACTCTGGGAAAGGAATCCAGGAGGAAAGGGTGGGACTGGGGTTGGGGGCGGGCCGGGGTGTGGGCGGGGCCAAGGGCGGGACCAAGGGCGGGGCCTCGCAGAGGTTCGCGGCGCGCGCCACGTCTCCCTCCTGGAGCGCAGGAGGGAGAAACTAAGAGGGGCGGGAACTTTCTCCTCTCGCGAGAACTGGCACAGTGGTAGCGGCGTGTCAGAGAGTAGCGTGGGGGCGGGGAGGAGAGGCGGCGGCGGCGGCGGCGGCGGTGGCGGCGGTAGCGGTAGCGGTGGCGGCGTCCGAGCTACGCCACACGGGGTCGGGACGCTGGGAGCCGGGGGACAGCGCGGGGTCGTGGCGGCGGCGGTGAGAAGAGCGCGGAGGAGGGCGAGCCATGGCGGGGCAGCAGTTTCAGTACGATGACAGCGGGAACACCTTCTTCTACTTCCTCACTTCCTTCGTGGGGCTCATCGTGATCCCAGCCACATACTACCTCTGGCCCCGAGACCAGAATGCCGGTGAGTCCCGCCGGCGGCCGCCCGCGGCCCCGCGCAGGCCCCGCAGTACTTCCGGGCACTGCCGCTCGGCCCGCTCGGCCGGCCCGGCCCAGCCCGCCGCGTCCCTGTGACACCGCCCGCTGCCGGGCCTCGGTCCACACGCGCGACGCCAGCGGGGCCCTCGCCGTCTCCTCACCATTGTCTTCCTAAGGAGTTTCGCCCCTCCGCACCCTCTACCTTTTGTTCTGGACGCTCCTGGCAGCCTCCTGTTGCCCCTTTGTCTTCTCTGCTTTTGTTGGGTGTCTTCGTGGAGGAGCGGGATGGGATGGATGGGGAGGTGGGGATTGGGAGCTGAGAGGAGTTGGACTCGGAGGAAACCCTGCGTGCTCGCCCCACTCGGACCCCTTCCCGACCCCAGCCAAGACCCTCCTCTCACCACACAGTTTCCCCGTTGCAGCTGTTGCTGCAGATGTTTGGGGGCACCCTCAGCTGTGTTGTGTTCAGGACTCCCAAGTGAGCTTCCCGGCCGCCCACTCCCGTCACTTCCTCTCATTGCTTTTTTCATTTGTTCACTCGCTGTGGGGGTTGAAAGCAATGCCGTTATTCTTCCTTGCAAAAATAGGCTTTTTCTCTGTTTCTTTTGGAGTTTCTTGTTTGTGAAGAAAAAAGTGCAAGTAGGAAGGATTAAATCTTCGTTTAATCTTGTAGGTTGTTATAAGGTAGCCAGGTCCATTTTTTGTTTTAAATTAGTTCTAAATCTTTTCACTTTAAATCTCATCGTATTAGAGTACAGATCCCCCCAACCCCCCTCCCCGCATGGCATTTTATTTTTGGATAATGTTGGATTTCATTTGTTTCCCTCCACTAAGACATCCATACATGCCATGGGACATTCTTAAATTTGGTAAAACTGCAAGCATATAGTGGGTTAGTTATGGTAGTAGCTAGTAGCTTAACAGTAGCTAGTAGCTTTTGCATATTGACAGCATTTAGGGAAAGCTTTCCATTGCACAAGAATTGTTATTAAGTTTATCTAAACTGAGTGTGGTGGAGATCTTGGCCAGGTTGTGTGTTACTGCGCTTTTGGAAATTGTTAATGGCACAGCCCTGAGTCAGTTTAGAAATTGTTTTGAGACATTTCTGTGTCTTGTAAAATTCACAAATTATGTAATGGAACTAAAATACAGTGAATATAAGATAAAGAGCGACAAAAGATTATTTCTGTACATTTGAAATAGCCATTAAAAACAAAAATCTGCCCAAGGTACCAGTCTTACTAGTATTTCATAAAGTAGCTAGTGTGCAAACTTTGTTTTTGTTTTTGTTTTTTTGAAATAGGTCTCACTATGTAGTTCAAGTTGGCCTTGAACTTCCTGTGTAGTACAGACTGGCCCCAAACTTGCTGCAGATTCCCCAGCCTCAGCCTCCAAGGTGCTGGGATTGCAGGCATGCCCCACCATGCTCAGCTAACATTTGGATTTTTGAACTTAAATCTTTTCCAAGGTGTATTTACATTGTTCGGGTTCTTGGATGGTGATTGTGTATAAGTGATGAAGTTTTAATGAAGTCTCAGTTTTCTGGTTAACAAACTTAGATCATTTTCCTGATATTTCAAGTTAAAGGGGTCCATTTTTTTGTAGTTTATTTTCACTTTTCACTCATTTCAGTGTGCAGTTGATTGTAGACAAGTGTATTAGAATACATTAGTTTTGTTAGGACATGTGTGTTGGTTTTGTTTGTTTGTTTTGAGGCAAGGTCTCTGTAGGTCACTAAATTACTCAAGCTGGTCTCAAACTTGTCATCCTTCTGCCTCAGCTTCCCAGAGTGCAGGGATTACAAGCATGTGCCACCATGCCCAGTGTTTTGAGAAGCTGTCCTGATTTCAAAAATTACTCATCACTGTAATCTAACTGGAGTTTTTGAAATTTGAAAGTCATTTTTCATGGTGGATTTTTGTGTTAAAATTTATCTTATAGCATATCACAGGCAAGTTATACTTGAACCCTTTTAGGTATGGGTGGTCTTTGGAGAAATGATTGTAGTTTAGGTGAGGTAAATTAATATTGACTACTTGCATGTCATGGGCTTAAAATGTCATTTGATTTAATTCTCTTAAAAATGCAGTGAAATAGGTTCTGTTATTATCCCCATTTTACATATGAAACTGGAGCTTGGAAGATATAAATAACTCCTGTATGATGGAACCTGGATTAGAACTTAATCACTTTTAGCTTCAAAGAAGTTTGTTTATTTATTTATTTTTATTAGACAAGAGTCTTGCTATGTAGTCCAGGCTGACTTTCATTCCCTTATGTAGTCCAGGTTGCCTTGAACTCTACTGTGATCTTCGTGCCTCAGCCTCTTGAGTGCCAGGATTACAGGCATGCGCCCCATGCCTGACCCCTATTTTAGCTTCAGAGTCCTTTATTTCCGTACTCAGAAAAATCAGGTTAGCTTTGGAAGTAGATTTGCCTTTCATCTTTACATCTGGCTCTTTGTTTAAGACTTAGTAAATATGCATATTTTAATGTATTTGTTTAGTCTTGCTCAAAATTTCATTATGGAAAGTAAGGAGGACACTTAAATGCTATTCTAATCATTAAAAATCCTTGGGCACTATTTGAAGTTTTTTCATGGGTTTGCCTTAAGTTCAGTTTTTTTTTTTTTAGAATTAGAGTAGCATTAAAAGGATTTTTTTTTTTTTTTTTTAAATCATGGTAGCTTTTACAAGCCTAGTTGCAGTGTTGTGAGTATCAAAGAGAAATCTTGAGTTACAGATTCATTTAAAGATCTGAAAAGCAAAATTCTTTTGGTGTTTGTGACAAAATAAAATGCTAACTTGCAGAGTCAGGCTACTTAGTAACCTTTATTCATAGTACTTAGAGAATGCATTTTCTTTTTGGAATATTTATTTGGTTACTGGTGCTATGTTACACCTTCTGACATATGTCAGGGTAGAAACACTTTCCATAATCTAAAATTTTGAAGCACTTCTGACAAAAGTTTCTGACTGTAGAATGTGAACTGGTAGTATTTTGATTAACAATAGCATGTTTTACTGTGAAACTGTTAAGTAGTCAAGTACAAATGTAGGTATGAGTTTGGAGTTCAGAGTTCTGACAGGCTTGACTTTTAAGATCCTTTGTGTGAAAAGATTTGCTTTGCCAATGAACATATTTAAGCTTGTATTTAAGCAGTTTTTACTTTACTTTTTTTCTTTTGATGACAAGTTGGGCTTGAAAGTGTGGCTCTTTGGAATTTGTCAAGACTCTTGAATACATTAGAAAGCTTAGTGCCATTTCACAAAATGTGAAATCTAGGGTTTTTAAAAAATAGAGATAGCTTTGTTGTTGGCATATTTGACATGTTAATTGAACTTTTTATCCAAAACATTATTAATGAAATCCTTGTGCCTTTATTTTTGTCTAACATGTTGGGCTAAGTGTACTTAAAATTTGCACTCTGGAGATGAAGGATTCTATTTGTCTTTTTCTCGGTTGCTTTCAAATTGGCTGAATAAAACGACAATACTTTTTTTATAATTATGGACAAGTGTGCCACGTGAAAAAGTAATAACAGGAAGGCTTTAGAATGCCTTCCAACAGTGATTCTCAATTGTGGCTGCATGTTAAAATCACTTAGGGAGCTTTAAAAAACTGTACTAGATACTATGATTGCAGGTGCTATGTATTGTTATATCAAAAGCTCTGTACATGGTCCTAAATTGTAGCTGTATTTTGTGTTTTTTTTTTTTAATTTTTTTTAAATTTTTATTTATTTATTTATGTGTGTGTGTGTGTGTGGCCAGCTCAGCCCACCATGGGGCGCGGCTGGCTGGCATGTGGTGCTGGGGGATTGAACCGTGGTCCCTTTGCTTTACTAAGCTTGTTCAAATAGGTGCTTTAGACCACTGAGCCATCTCACCAGCCCCTGTAGCTGTATTTTGAGAAATGTAGTTTTGAGTAGAAATTCCTTTCAGTGGTGTTTTGCTGGAGTTGTTATTTGAAGTGATGGTTTGTTTTGGTATGTGCTGTTTGCTGAAACAACCAGCCCACCCTGCCTTAAAACCAGAGCATTGGTCTTTCTGTTTTATAAAGCTAAGAAGTATTTTTTCTAAAACAGTGCTGTAGGGCCGGGGAGATAGCTCAGTAGAATAAGAGCTTGCCTGGCAAGCACAAGGGCCTGAGTTCAATCCCCGGTTCTGCAAAAAAAAAAAAATAAATAAATAAATAAAATAAAAAAAATAAAACAGTGCTGTAAAGTTCTGGTAGTTGAAAGCCAGCTTTTTCTTTTTTCTTCAAAACATATTAATAATATTCCAATTTATTGTAATAATCTATTAATAACTTCCCAAGTATTTCTCAGTGTGCTGTGGTTGGGGCCTTATAGATTTTAGATGTTCTTAACATTTTGAAATAATTTTCATAGTTAACCTAGCCACAACCCACCTTTGGTGTTGTCCACAACACTGATTTTTTTGTGTGTACCACACGCTTTCTTCTCTCTGGATGACAACTATTAATGGTTGCCTAGTACTTTTTATTTATTTATTTTATATCTTTAGTACAGGGTCTACAGGGTCTCATTACACAGATCAGACTGGTAGTGAGCCTCTGTTTTTAGCCTCCCAAGCACTCGGATTACAGGCAAGGGTGCCACCACACCCAGTCTCAGTTACCATCTTGGCGCGCCCCAGGGGCAGGGCTGGCTCGGCAGTCCGAGGATCAAACCAGGTCCCTGTGTCTGCCTAAGCATTCTAGTGTTTTCTAAATGATGGCATTCTTAATCTTCATATATAATTTCAATCTGCTATTTTTTAGAGCATAATTTTGCTTGCTGCTTTGATTTACAATAGAAAAGTCATTATAAATTGTTTTCGTTATACTGGGTTCACATTAGTGTTTTTGACAAAAGAAAATAACTGATTGCTTGTGATTATTTATAGAATTTGAAATAATGTGCTTTCTTTCTATGGGTTAAACATTGTAGGTCTTTTGGGTTAAGATAAATTACTACCTTTA